CTTTATTGACTTTTTTTTTTTCAATTGTTTTAAATAAAACAACAAGGGCAAAAGAGTAATATGGGTAAAAATCAAAGTTAAAAAGGAAGCCTGGTCACAATTTCCTTCCCTCTCTCTATCTCGCCGCATTCACCAACGAAAAGCCTCGCCACAAGCCACTCGTCGACAATGGCGGCTGCCACTGCAAACACCATTTTGCCTACGCCTTCTTCTTTAACTTCCTCCTTCAAATCTTCAATACCCATTTCCAAATCTATCCTTCCCTTCTCTACAGCCCCTCGAAAGCTCACCACTTCCCGTTCCCTCACCATTTCCAGCTCTCTTTCTCAGTCAAGTTCCAACACCAGATCCGCCGCCGCTACTGTCACCCCAACTACAGCCCCTTCCCATGATTTTATTTCCCGTTATGCCCCTGATGAGCCCCGAAAAGGCGCTGATATCCTCGTGGAAGCCCTGGAACGTGAAGGGGTCAAGGACGTGTTTGCCTACCCAGGTGGAGCTTCCATGGAGATCCACCAGGCTTTAACCCGGTCCAAAATAATCCGAAATGTCCTTCCGCGACACGAACAAGGTGGGATCTTTGCGGCGGAGGGGTACGCGCGCTCCTCTGGCCTTCCCGGTGTTTGCATTGCAACGTCTGGCCCTGGGGCAACTAACTTGGTGAGTGGTCTTGCTGATGCGATGCTTGATAGTATCCCTCTCGTGGCGATCACGGGTCAAGTCCCTCGTAGAATGATCGGTACGGATGCTTTCCAAGAGACTCCTATTGTTGAGGTAACAAGGTCTATTACAAAGCATAACTATCTTGTTCTTGATGTGGATGATATTCCTAGGATTGTTAGTGAGGCTTTCTTTTTAGCTACCTCGGGCAGGCCAGGTCCTGTTTTGATTGATGTACCTAAGGATATACAACAGCAGCTTGCTGTTCCTAAATGGGACCAGCCTATTAGATTGTCAGGGTATCTCTCTAGGTTGCCTAAGCCTCCCGGTGAGGCTCATTTGGAGCAGATTGTGAGGTTGGTTTCCGAATCTAAGAAGCCAGTGTTGTATGTTGGTGGTGGGTGTTTGAACTCCAGTGAGGAGTTGAAGAGGTTTGTTGAGCTTACAGGGATACCTGTTGCAAGTACTTTGATGGGTCTTGGAACGTTTCCGAGCCCGGATGAGTTGTCATTACAAATGCTTGGGATGCATGGAACTGTGTATGCTAATTATGCTGTGGATAAGAGTGATTTGTTACTTGCTTTTGGAGTAAGGTTTGATGATCGGGTGACAGGAAAACTTGAGGCTTTTGCCAGCCGGGCCAAGATTGTTCATATTGATATTGATTCAGCCGAGATTGGGAAGAATAAGCAGCCTCATGTGTCGGTGTGTTCAGATGTCAAATTGGCATTGAAGGGGGTGAACAGGATATTGGAGAGTAAGGGAGCTGAGCTTAAACTTGATTATTCAGCTTGGAGGCAGGAGTTAAACGAGCAGAAGCTGAAATACCCATTGAATTACAAGACCTTTGGTGAAGCTATTCCACCTCAATATGCAATTCAGGTTCTTGATGAATTAACCAATGGGAATGCGATTATAAGCACTGGTGTTGGTCAGCATCAGATGTGGGCTGCTCAGTTTTACAAGTATCGGAAGCCTCGTCAATGGTTGACATCAGGGGGATTGGGGGCCATGGGATTTGGATTGCCTGCTGCCGTTGGAGCTGCTGTTGCAAATCCCGGTGCTGTTGTTGTTGACATTGATGGTGATGGAAGTTTCATCATGAACGTCCAAGAGTTGGCGACTGTCCGTGTGGAAAATCTTCCCATTAAGATATTGTTGTTAAATAATCAGCATTTGGGCATGGTTGTTCAATGGGAGGATCGATTTTACAAGGCAAACAGGGCACATACGTATTTGGGTGACCCATCTAATGAATCTGAAATATTCCCAAATATGTTGAAATTTGCTGAAGCATGTGGAATACCTGCTGCTCGTGTGACAAGGAAGGAAAATCTCAGAGCAGCAATTCAGAAAATGTTGGACACTCCCGGGCCTTACTTACTAGATGTAATTGTCCCCCATCAAGAACACGTCCTGCCTATGATCCCTAGCGGAGGGGCTTTTAAAGATGTGATCACAGAGGGTGATGGAAGAACACAATATTGATTTTAATGAGCATCCATCAATATGTGTTTTTGGTAATGTATGTATGATCAGTTAGCTTTGAGTTGTGGCAGTGACATGGAGGAAACTTGCTTGTGCCCCTATAGTTAGTTTTTCTGTCTTTTAAAATCTATCAAGCAGGCTTTTTGTTTGGTCCTATGCAAATCTTGTATGTCTTTTAGTCAATAATGTACTGTTAATAGATGAATCTAAACTTCAATGGTTGTTTTTCTTAAATTCTTTCCAAGGATAGCATAATGAATGCCTTCATAATTTGGAGGCAATGTAGCAAATCTCATCACGGATTGCTCAAGTTACCGATGCTGAATTATCATGGACCGCACACGAGTCTTAGATGGTCGCACGACGAGATTTGCTCAAGATGATGCGGGCGAAGCATCGGGAAGGATTGAAACTTCACTAAGACCCGACTAGCCCTTGGGGAGTGGCACACTCACTCGATCTGGTTAAAGGCTTACTCAGGTCTACGAATGGTAGTTTTCTGCTTAAGGTTGCACGGTAATTAAGCTTAAACTCTCGATCCGTGACAAAATTATATCCTTAAACATCTGTTTATTTTGGATAACGAATATTTTAAAAATACGATCATAATTAAATGTTCAATGATATATTTTATTTTATTTTTGTTACTCAATAATTTAATTCAAATTGATAAAAAAATTTTTGAACACGTTACGATAATAAGTCATTTTATTTCGTTATTTTATGATTTAAATTTAAAATAATGAAAATTCTCTGAAAAGCATTCACTTTTATTTTTATTTTATAATCGAAACAAGAAATTTCTATTTTACATTCAAATGCCAATGGAAAAGAATAGATTCACTGAAGAAATCTTGACCCAACTATATAGCCAATTAAATAAACGTAAAGAGTACCAAATTAGTAAAGTGAGAGTGGTGACATTTAACTTAAAACTAACGAATACTAAATACCAACTGTCATAATCACAAAGGCAACATTAGCAACAACCTTTTTGCAACAGTTAAATCATTGTTACAAAAATATCATTATTGGACTAGAATATGTTGATATTATTTATTTTTCTTTGGAACTGCGAACCCTTTAGCAGCCTGTCCCGAAGCAAACCTCAGCAGGATAAAGACATCAGCAACTGCCACAACAATCCATGGGTGTAAACATGCAAAAGCCACCGGCAATGCGGCAGTCTCCACCACTTTTACCGACCATGAAAATGCTGGCGAAAGGGTTTCTCATTACGAGCGGCGAATCAAGTTGGAGTTACCGTGGCTACAAGTACCACCGCCAACACCATCGCAACAAAGAGAAAAACAAGCTTCTTGCACTCCATTTCTAGTAGTAAAATGGCTGTCTGTAGCAAAGTGTAGCTGGAGATCCTTTATATAGGAATTAAAGCTAATGGTTTAGACTAAATTGGCATAAATTAAGAATGAGTTTCTTTTTAATGCTGTTTTTTAGTTGTAATTAGGGGGAGGGCCAAGATGCGTGATCGAGGGAAAGCAAATTAAACATACGTGCGGATGAACGAGTTTATTTTTTTAATGCTCTTTATTAGTTGCGGCTAGTGGTGGGCTAAGATTATTATTATTATTATTTTTTTAATTTAGATAGATAAATTGTTTAATTTTTTAAATCAAGATAAGATATGTTGTATCTAACAGTTTAATATAATTGATTATAAATCATACATTCGAGATGATCTTAACAAATAATCATCGACAGAACTCGAACTTAAAATCTTTTAATCGAGAAGAACGACCTTAATCAATTGAATCAATTATTTATTAATCATGCATCAAGATTTATGATCAAAAGAAAGCTATGAATTATATATAAGAATCTATAAAATAAATTACATTATAATATAGAGGCGATGCAAGAATTTATATATATATATATATATATGAATTTATATTTGATATATTATTAATATATAAAATTTATATATTATTAATGAATTAAATAATGATAATTTATTAATAAAATAAATTTAATGATAATATTTTATTAATAAATAAATAATTTTATTTTATATATATTTATTTATTAATAAATTATTATCATCTAATTTATTAATAATATATAAAATTTTTACATTAATAATTTATTAAATATAAACTCTCTATATATAATTATAATATAATAGCGTATCTATATGGATACAGGAAAGATTAAAAAATAAATTTTTTAATATTTATTTTTAAAACTTTTTTTAAATACATTTTCATTAATAAAATTAATAAAATTATCAATAATTATATATAATATAAGTAAATACGTTCAGAAAAAATATTAAATCTGTCCACTAATATTATATACTTGTAAGAGAGAGTCCAGCTAATAATTTGAAGTATATTACATTATGGTATCATACTACCTTCATCCGTTCCATGTACACACACATACACATAAGCTTCCACTTAGTGTAACATAAAAAGGATTATGGCTTTAATTATGTCCATAATGATATATATATGCTTGCTTTGGACCAAAATTTAACTGTATTTTTTTTAAAATGTGTGAAAAACAATTAAATTATATGAAAAAAGTTACTGTAAATTTTGTACAAATTTTATATGTATTTTATCTACATATGTAAATATTATTGTTATTAATCTAATTATTTTTACCGCTCATTAGTGAATTTTTTTAGCATTCAATGATTTTTGTAATGAAATTAAGTTAGAATTTGATAAATTATTTTAAAGAAAAATGATTTATGAAGTTATTTCATCTCATTTATTATAATATATAAAATTTATATATTAAAAATATTAATTAATTATTTCATTGTTACATCCGTAATTAGACTAAAGTACAGTACTTTTTGTTTACCCTAACGGCGGGGGGACGGTCCCATCACGGCCCGTATTCCTTTGGCCCGTTGCCAAATGAATTCCTCAAGCTTCCTCTTCCATCAGCTAAATTCCTAGTCATAGTCGTGGTCGATCTCTCTCAGGAGGCGGGGGCCACAGTCGTGGTTGGAGCTATAGCCCGAGGAAGGCACAGCAAGTCTCCAAGAGCAAAACCTTGGCGCAAGTCACCTGGAAAGTCAAGATCAAGGCCCACTCGTTCGGTTGCTCCCGATTTGAATCAGGGTTTTTCCTTTTTCCTCTCCTCTAAGTTTCCAAGTCAAAGCTTCAAAACTCGATGAAAATCCCTAAACCCGAAACCCAGAACTGATAAGCAATGCTTATTTCATCATCTTAGTTGATATCGTATTTTAGTTTTATTGATATCATGTTTTATTGATAAATGATAAATGTTAAATATCTATTTTTAGATGGAATTTGATGATATCAAATGATATTTTCTGAAGAACATGGGTTTATGATAGTGAGGTCTACAAAATTTGATTCTGATAATTAGTGATTCAAACTATAAGAGTTGCCCATGTAAATGTGAGTGGGATAAAACTGAGAAACTTAGCCAGTTCTTGGGTTTTTTTTTAATAATATTACTTGTATTTTTTTTGGAACAAAGTACCCTACGGCTAACGTATACTTTACTTCAATTTTCACAGCATGCTTAACCTTGAATGAACACATGAATGGATATGATGTGCATATAATTTTAAAGTTTTTAGATTATCATCTGACTGCATCTCAAGTTTTTAGATTCAAACGATTTGATCTCTGCGTACAGCCTACTTAAGTTGTTAGATTTTTCTTCTTATTATTCTTTTTTTAATGCTGTTTCACTATGATTTTCATGCAATTTCACTCTGATTTGATCTCACTATGATTTTTTCTGGATAGCTTGTTAAGAGAAAGAACTGGACTAGGTGTCTCCTATGTGGTCAATGTGTTGAATGCTTCTAGGTTGCTTTGTTGTTAAATGCAGGTTTGAATCTTTCTTTTTCTAATTTTTCCATCCTTTAAATCCATTAAACTAGCCAGATGACATGGTATATGTATAAAGGAAGAATAAAGAAGAAGATAGACAAAGTATGAGTACCAATTAGTGTCACTTGCAAAAATTGAAAGTCTTTAATTTAAGCAACTTGCATCATAAGTAAACACAAATTGTCCAGCATAATTTTATTAAACTGTTGTTTCCTTCTATTTCTCGGTTCTTGTTAATGTCCTGAGATTGCAAGATCAATATCATCCCAATAGGCTGATAAATATATATTTTCTAGCTGCAGAGCCTCAACTTTCTTATCATCTTTCCATTGTTGGGTTTAAGCTTGATATTACTAGTAAGATTTTTGAATTACATAATTTTAAATTTAGGATTCTTAGTCCTCAGAATTACAAGCACCACAGTTAATTAATAGCACCAGTGCACCAGATTTGATCAATTTTTTAAAAGTTAATTTATGCCTCAAAATTTGACTTTAAGATCATACATTCACTGTTATATTTTGGCTGTAATTCATTCTCTTAATCCATGTGTTACTTATTCCACACGATAGGTCATTGCCTAGCAAAATTTGATGCATCCCATAAAACTATTGCTGATTTTTTAATCCCAAAATAAGGGTACATAAGCTTGGTCCACATATAAACATTATGTTGCAGTTTCTTGCATTGAGAATTTCACGTAGCTTTAGAAATTTGCATGAAAAATGTTGCACCATTTACAGACAAAAAATGATAGTCAAAACTTAGCAAAAATATTTTCCATTCATAGGCCTAGTTGATTTATGTTTAATTTCACCAAATCAAGCTCTGAAGCAAAGCTTTATTTTCACATAATGATCAACCATGTCCATTTTCTTCAATTGTGTCGAAAGGAAAGATTGAGCTAGGTAGAGGGGAAAGTGCCAGAAGGTGAGAGCGAGGGATGAGTTAGGAGTGGGCTCAAAAACCGACAGTTACAGTTTCAGTGATTTTTTTTTAAGAATTAGCTTATCTCATTTATCTTTCCCCTTTCATTGTTTAAGGTACAAATTCTATCCATCTCCCCTTTGTTGGAAAAATATTCATGCCTTTTTTATTTTTTCTCTATTTCAATGTTTGAATAAAAGAGTTTTTATTTCACTCAGTATTTTTGCAGATGAGTTTTGTAACTGATTCCCCGGTACACTCGTCTAGCAGTGATGACTTTGCCGCATTGCTTGATGCTGAACTTGAAGTCGGTTCTTCAGGCTCATCACACAATGAACAAGACGATGAAGAGGAAGAAGTTGATGATGATAACAATGATGATGATGATGACCTCGACAATCAAAGGTACATTTTCTAGGAATAAATTTTTAATTTTGTTGGAGTTACTATTAAAGAAAACAATGAATGATGAATTTTTTTTCTTTTGCAAATAATGACAAGTGAGAACATTAGTAACTTTTTTTAATGGAAACTGGGAAAGTTTTACAGTTTTATTTAATTATGTTATTTTGAAAGTATTTGAATATTTTCTTAGTGATACATGAAACTATGCTAATTTTAACATCCATGACTTTTTCAAAGGATACACACAGCATATGCTTTTCCTTGGTTGAGTTCCTATAAGTTTATATTATGGGTTTTGATTGAATCCTTCTTAGATTGATATTGCATGTTAAGATAAATTTGAGGAAATGTTTTAAAAAATTTTGGATTTTGTTCTGATTGATTTGAGACCTACTATGGTGATGAGTTATGTGGCTATTTGGTTATGCACTTGATAGACTCGAGAATTGATTATCTTAGCATCTTATTATTGAATATATCATTTGAAATTTGAATTGAACTTGCTGTTTTTATCCCGTTTTCTTTATAAAATACAGTGGTTAAACTAAAGGTCTTCTATAAATTTAACTTGCAGGAACAAAAGGTGCAAGACCGAGAAGTTGGAAGACGTAGAAGAACCTCAAGGGTCAACCTCGCAGGGTTTGATAGAAGAAAATATAGGTAAAGTTCCTTAATTTGGTTGGCTGCCCCTCCAGTTTATTTAAAACTTGGATCCCTTCCACTCCCTGAACTTCAGCACAATTAACTATCTGGTGACATGCTCACAAGTGTCTCATGCTACTAATGGCTTTTAGGAGATACAACAAGAGAGCAATTTGGCTGTAACTAGTCTATTCTTAAATTTTAATCTAGTACTATTCATAAATATTCAAATAGGATGTGTCTGTTTTAGATGGTTTGCCATGCTAAAGCTTTCTAAGTTTCAAACCTCAATTTGGCTTTATTGTTGAGCTTCATGCAAGTTGCATGTGAATGATACTGCCTAAATGATGTGTGCATGCACCCACACATACTCTCTCTCTTGAACAGTCTTTTTTTTTTCCTTAGAAACTACTATTGAAAGCATCTACAAGAAAAAGGCTTGTGAACAGGAATAAATATCTGTATCTAAAGATGTAAAAACATGTCCACTGATGAAGTTGCATGTCATCCCATATCATCTTCAAAAGTAATATTACAAAAGAAAATGACAGAAGGGTTTACATTACATATAC